CTTTGCCAGATCACCTCCAAATTCCCATTCTACTCCTTCAATCATAAAAAAATAAAAATAAAAATGAGGAAATAAAGTTTTTACATTTTTTTACTAAAATGTAATCATATATACATGATTACAATAAACAAAAAAAGAAATTTCTATCACTGTATTTGTCAAACACACCGCCACACAGGAATGTAACTACATAAACTTATTTTAACATTCACCTGAAAGTATCTAGTAAGTTGCAGGCTGGCATTTCAAGTGTTAACCATCAAAATGAAAGGTTAAAAAACATGTTCAAATAAGCTCTATGTTCCGTTGTCACAGAGACTATACTGTAAGCGGGTACCTTAGACACAGAAGACTTGAGTTCACCAACATAATCCCAAACCATCTTCGGTGCGATCCTCCCACCGATGTGAATTGTGTTGGGCAAGTCCTAAATAAAAAGCACTTTGAGTAAATCACCTGTGAAACTCTAGTGTTCAAAAAGAGACTAATGTAGTAACATGAAGGCACCAAACTACCCAAAATTCAAGAAAACAACAATTCCAAGGAAAATGGTGATGACCGTATTAAATACTGACTGGTGAACTACCATCAGGATTACGAGCTCCCAAACCCAAAGGTGGTATAATGACCTTCTGACAAACAGGATTGTTTAGAAACTACTGCCCAACCTCTTTACGTTATCTTTTGTGAACACACACACACACACATACAGTAATGACTCAGTTATTACCAGGATAACTGACTTGCCACTCCTTCCTAAGGTCATAAATTCTAGTGCCATCTTTGTTAACTTTGAAAAATGAAAGACCTGTTGGGGGGGGTTACACCTGCCACCCACGCTATGCAGGTTACAGATGCCTGGCCATGCTGGTGGCTGGGCACACACGTGTGGTAAATGCCCTTGCTAAACAGGTCACTGCTAAACAGATCACTGGGCTGCCCAACTGCTNAATATTTGTGTGAATTTTAGAATCTAAATCCAGTTTTCATCCTTCAGAGGTAAATTTTATTGAGGGCTCTCATGTGAGAAATTCTGTGGGAAAATAAAGCCAAGTGTTTGAGAAGCTTATTGCAAAAGCCTGAATGGTTCCTGTCCCACGAAGTCACCACCAGTCCTGACCAGCCCTGACAGTGGCCGCTGAAAGGGAGGGATTAGCCCTGTAGCCACCAACTACAGAACCAAGGGCCCAATTCACGAGTAAACTCACCCCAATTGTCAGAGC